TGTCCTGTGAAAACGCAGGGGTGTTCTACATCGTTGCCAGCTACTGCCATTCTCGTCAGGCTCCAGAGTAGCTTGGAACACCGGCCCCGTCCGCAGGGGTGGTGTGTTGAGTTAGAGTTGGTTGAAATCTCCACCCACAACACGCTGAGGTCAACTATGATAGATACATGGTGCATGTTCATGCATGTTTTATATATGTATGTATATATATATAAATTGTATATATGTTGATTTACGTAGTTCATATCTTGCAGAAAACCTTAGTTGAGCCCCTGTTTGCTACGCATGGGGCATCACTGAGTAGATTCGGAATCAACATCGAAGAAATTCCTGGAATTTCCGGATCCCAACCTCAGTGGCCCAATGGATCCCGGAAATACGGGGATTCATCGCAAAACGGCTTCAAAATTCCTCGAAATTGCCGAGATCAATGTCAATCCAACAAAATTTGGAGTCTTCCATCTTGTTCAATGCAGAACCATTGTTTGCCCAATTGTATTTGAGAACTTCCAGGGTTTCTTCCAGGCCTAGGCCTGGTTTTTCGAAAAGAAACGCAATTTGGCCGAGGGCGCTAGTAACCCCCCTGGTGGCTGCACAAGTCATCTGACATACTATGTCACTTGATCAAGTATTTCCATGAAAATACCAACAATTCGAAACGTTGAGAATGGCGAGTGGCTGTTTGTGGATCTCTTCCTAAGGTGCTGGAAGTTTTACAAGCCCCTTGGCGGACATCCTTCTTGGATGCTTTTGCTGGTGACTGGCACCGCTTGCCACCGTCGCAGCGTTTTTGGAACTTAAGTGGGTTGCAGTGGCTTGCAGGGTTCCTGAAATAGTTCTTGCATACGCTTCGTTCCGGGATATGCCACTGAAAGCCAAATATCTATGTATAAACAAATTCTATTTTTTAATTAATATGTTGAATGACATTATGTACGTGCAGCGTTTTTTCTGGATATGTTTTAATTTGGACGGCATGTGAACACACACAGCCGAGTCACCAGATGCAGCCGAGTCGGCAAGTGCCAACTGTACCCATGGCACCCTTTTTGTTGGCTAAGTGCCATTCATGGTGAAACCAATGCAACTCCATACCCGATCCGAGTGGACGCTTCAACATGTTTGCTGCCTAAAAAGTCGTCCCTTCCGAACCTTGGCGATGTTCAGCATCGCCACAAAAGCCTGGTGGAATTGATTGGATCTATTCAATAGGAATCCCAGATAAAAAGAGACATAATATGGCATACTGATGGCATATTTTTTGCCATATTAATGTCAAGTCCGGATCAATAAACCCATGGTTTATCAATATTTTGTGTGTCCCCCAAATACTGATATTTGACTTTAAAAATGGTACCCAGAGATTAGTAAAGTAGGGGTTTATTATTCCTGCTGGGTTGATATAGATCACCATTCAGGATGGTTAAATCACAGTAAAATAGCATTTTTGATGGTTAACCCTCTTATTAACATTAGGAGATTGGGACTATACATATTATTGTATACATATTGACTACCCGGTATTTCTATTATAATCCTGATTGTTAACTGTTTAATTTCGTTTTTTGGTTAAATACCCAGTGTTTCTCAGAAAGTGACCGGAACCCAGGCCAGTGCACGAACCGCAACTTGAGCTGAAGTTTGGAACTGACCATGCAAATCCCTGAATTACGTTTATGTTGCCTGTATTTGGGCCGTTGGGAAAATCGGAAATCGTCAGGGAATACCAACACTCCTAAATTGAGTAGAAATAACTCAAGATTCAAATCCTAGTTTTAGGGTTGAACATGGATCCAGATCTGGGACGTCCAATGGAATTTTCAATGGGAATATCACTTGAATGGAGTATACCGACATATACCGACTCTACTGGCCGATGTTTCTAGAGATGAGTCTCCAAAGGCTTTATGTTGCGTCAGTCAATTGCTGTCATTCAGCGATGTTTGAGGGGATGTTGGATGATAAACCGACAAGAAATGGGATTCTAATGGGCACAGAATGGGATTCGGCAAGCTGGTTACCATGCCTAGTATCTAGCGTGCTTCCTCGGACTACAATGTCACCCAGAATGTAAATAGTGTCACCCAGAATGTAAATCTCTGTATGAGCTCTCAATGTCTCCATGTAGACGGTAAGTTGGGTTGCCTGGCATTTTGAGGAACAGATTATACCCGGAATTTAAAGATCAGTTTTGTTTGGCTTCGTTTCGTCCGCCATTTGTGGCTCAGGTACCGGGGAAAGAGGACATCGCTGTGGGGAGGTATCTGCCAACGCAGCATATCCTTAAAATTGGGGGGAGAGAGATCCATATTGAGCCAATCCCAATCCGGTCTCCGCCTAGGGCCTCATAGTCAGCGCTGTGCACCGGATGAGTTTATGCCTCACAATCGTTGGCCCCAAAGACAAACATCTAATGCTGGAACGCATCAAATTTGTGCATCTCTTCTCATGGGCTGATTACACACTTTCTATTTTCATCTATTTTCTATATTATATATACTTATTTTTTCCCGGAGTTGGATGAACGTTGGTCATTGCTAGGAGAAAACATGGTTTCCCGCAAATGATTCCTTCAACCAATCCATGTTGGGTGGTGCTATTCCCATTTTGGTTTGTTCAGTCCCTAGTTGTTGTGTCGTAAATCCATGGTTAAATCACAATTTCCTTCCTTTGAATGCACAGTTGCCAGTTTCGTTGGCTCTAGTGGTTCGCTTCTCCGGTTCAAGCGTGAAAACGGTGGAGAGAGCCATGGCGATTGGTTGCTTTCAAATTGCACCAACTCTCAGACCCGAGGATCTGCTGGTGCTTGGGTTGATCCATGGGTTGATCCGGTTTTATGGGATGTCAGCTAGATACAAGTGAAACCCGCGCGAGACGGCGGAAGTTTCCAGCAGCAAGGAATGTTATACCATAGGATTGAACACAAATTTCGCCTAGAGGAGCTGGAGTGAAGCCTCACATCTTCTCAGCTCTGTTCTTTGAATTCGTTTTCATATTGCCTCACCCCTTTTCAACTGTGGCCACCATTTCTCAGCTCTTCTTAGCTCTTCGCAGCTCTTCTCAGACCGTCTCAGCTCTTCTCAATTCTTCTCAGAACTCTTTTCAACAGCTCTGAAGTTGTTTCATCTCTTCCCACCTCAGCTCAACTCTTTTCACCTCTTTCCGGCTCTTCTCAACTCTTCTCAACTCCTTTTACCTCTTCTCAACTCTTGCCAACTCTTATCAACTCTTCTCACCTCTTCCCACCTTTTTTCACAGAGATGCTTTACACAGAGAAACTTTAACACACAGAAGCTTTTACACACAGAAGTTTTTTCAAAGAGAAGCTTTTACACACAGAAGCTATTACACACAGAAGCTTTTACACAGAAGCTTTTTCAAAGAGAAGCTTTTACATTTTACACACAGAAGCTTTTACACGCAGAAACTTTTGTTGCACAGAGAAGTTTTTACACACAGCAAGCTTTTACACAGAGAAGCTTTTATACGCAGCAAGCTTTTTGCACAGAGCATGCACAGAGAAGCTTTAACACAGGGAAGCCTTTACACAGAAGGTTTTTGCACAAGGGAACTTCTATGCCAGAATTTCTAGTGGAAAAAACCGGGGGCCACAGAGCATACCCTGATCTAACCCCGGCCTTTAACACTTACCGTCCCAGAACCCCTCATTGTGGACACACTGTTTGAGGAAAAATGTTCCAACACCAGCATCGTCCAACTCCCGGACCCGTTATTTACTTATTTATTTATGTTGGTTTCTTAATCAGGGATCCCCAACACCATCCCAATACCATAGGTTTTAATACAGAAATGGTCATCCATGACCTGGATAATTTTGGGGCACCGGGGCCCCCATTTTAGGAAACTTCCTTATGATGCATATATACTCATATCATCTCGTATCTTGGTTTTCTTCAAATCGGAGCATGGGGCGTTCCCTCTGTGCATTTTCTGCGTCCACCAAACGCCAGACCCTGCGAAACCATGAGATGCCCCCCCCGGATTTGTAAATTGAAGTAAAGCAAAATACCTGCAGATTTCATCGGCAAAATTGCATCTCTAGGCTCTAGGTTTAGACCTTGTATGCAAGTTGGATTCAACCGTTTCCATCTCGATGGGTCCCAGTCATGAAGGAGTATGGTTATATTACTGTGGGCATACTGCTACCCACATTCCAACCATTAAGACCCCTTGTGCTCCGACAAAACTGAAGTTTCAGCCGTGGATGTTGATTCCCCCATTCGGTGTTGAATTCGCTCTGACATCGGAAGCTCAGGTGGACGTGGACGCCAAGCGCTTGACGAGGACCAGCGCCGCCACAACACCAGATGCGAAGGCGAAGGAGGTGCACTTCGATGAACCACAGCTGCGGCGTAGCGCCAGGGAGGCCCGACAGGACCGGCGTCACGCAAAGCTCAGGAGAGCCTTTGGGAACGGTGGTGCTTGGGAGTGCAGTCCCCCAAGTGCATTGGGATATCACCTCTGACTCTATGTACTGTATTTTTTGTCATTTTGTATCCTCTGCGACCTGGAGCTGCCAATTGATGGGGATTGAACACCGATAAAAAACATAGGGATATGAAGACGTGTGCAGTTTATATATAACCTCAACCATCCTCAACCGCTTCATGGACGCTGAAATGGAACACCCGTCTGTGTGTGTGTTTTTTGGGTATTATTTCGCGCGACCCCCATCTTGACCAAATAAACCAACATCTTTGTTGATGACACATTTATCATGACATTTATTCATGTTTATTCGACATAATATGTCTGACAGATTGTTGGCAAGTCTGAACTCAAGGTTTCAAATGTTGTACAGTGATTGTTTTTTGTTTCAATGATCGGTATTATAAACATATCCCAATTATTGAAAGATATCATGCACTGCCTGCGTTTGTTGATTGATTGTGCCCCGCCGATCAACAGTTGTCAGGAACTTTCTCCACAAGTATGGTTTCAGCGATGTCAACCGTCCAGTGTGGCTCGGCCAAGTGTATTTCTGACATAACATGAGTACACTGTACACGTGTTTGTCTACAATTAATGCGGGTAATTTATCGCACATAGGTTTGTATTTCTACATGCAACATGTATTGAATCATGCAACATGTATTGAATACAATGTTATTTCTTGTTTTCATATGTATATATATATATATAGATTTATTTTTTTATCTATATGTATAATATATATATAAATATATATAGATAGGTGCGCGTATTGGTTTACATGTTACATTGACTTGTCTATGCACACATGTGCAATTACAATGTGCACCACTGTAAATTGGGAAATGGCATTCGCATGATCAGATGCCAGGGGATTATAGCAGCAATACATTCTTCTTCACGGGAACCAATTATATAACTTTAAATCGTACGACAATGATTTTCCTGCAGCAGTAGGAGGTCACATTCCACAGAAAGGGGCCTTGTAGATAGGTACTGCAGTTGGCTGGCACAAGCGCACATGTTCATAGGTGTATATATTTATATATATAATATATATATATACATATATATACATATATATACATACATACATTTATATACATATATATATATTCAAATATAGATACATATTTATATATATATATATAGATACATACATATATATATATATATGTGTGTGCATGTGTCTGTGTGTGTGATTGTATATGCATGAACTTTGTTTGATTGGGTTTTAAATTATAAGCAAACTTTTTATTGGAGAGTCCTTCTCGCATAGGTTTGTGTCAAAATAGGGCTCCCAAAAGTCTTCCGTTTTATCATCATTTCCTTGGCAAAATTGCTCTTTCACGAGGGAAAATCCACCATGTTTGGCGAAACCCTGTGGGCAAAACACAGGCAGATCCGGCCAAGAAAAAAACAGAGTCAAAAGTTTGACCACACGCTGTAAGAACCAAGTTCCGGTGGATCTACAGAAGTGAGGCGCTATTCCGCTATTACCTATATATATGGTATACTAAGCCATGTTTCCTGATTTTCCTGGTCCTGAATCCTCTTCCTTTCAGTTCTGCCCCCATTACAACAGCACTGAGGATGCTTCTAGGTGGCAAGGACGAGCCCCATGATGAAGCGGCCTGGTGAAGCATGGTGTTTCATGGGGTGTTTCGCCAGTCGTCATGGTTGTTTCCATGCCAAGATGGTCATCCATGACTTGGATGATTTGGGGAATGACCATCCACGAGTTAGGAAAATGGAAACCTCGATTTTTTGTTCGGAATCTTTGGGCTGGTTGGAGATTTGATGTAGTGGCTATTGGGCCAACAAACATGAGGAACTAGCCATCTAACAGGGGGGATATCTCATGGGATACATGCCAATTCGTGAAATGAGATGATTATTATCATTGACACGCATATATTTCAGAGGATTGGCGCAAACATCAACCATACATTATTTGTGTCATGAACATGTTGCTGGGATGATCATGGGAAGCAGAACGGTGGTTAGATGATATAAATATGCTCTACATTTCGTCATGCAATATTTATGTGTGATTTTTGAACATGGACTTGTACATGTTCCAGAAATGGAGGATTTGGGTATGGGCGTGTTGAAACATTAGTGACTCAACGGCCGCCAAAATGGACCGGGTTTCACTTTTTGAGACAAGACCATGATAGAAGATGCTCCCAAAGCCGATACATACATATATATATATATATATACACACACGTATTCATTTACCCTTTGAGGAAATTATGACGCTAGAATTTAAGAAAGTGGAAAACCACAAAAAACATATTGAAATTGTATTGTGGCCATTAAGCTTGGTCAAACACATCTTAAGTCTCCTGTCACCATGCCATGGGAAAGTAAGATTCTCAACCGAAAGCATGTCAAAATCTATTGCCAGGTTTAGGTTGTTATAGCCTTTTGTCACGCTGGGAAGCATGATTTTTGTGCTCGGCTTCAGGAACGTGAACAAACCTTGGTTGCCATTTTTAGGGAAGAAATCGTTGCAGGGGTCCAATGATGGCTGTGCAACCACAGAACTTTTTCCAGCCTGAATATGAATAGGCAAACTCGATCTACCTCTCCAGGCCCCAGAAGGTTACTGTAACTCCCATGCAGAATTTAAACCCAGAATGCGATGCGTCAACATGGGGAAATGCGGGGAAATGCGACATCACAATATCACCAACATATTCTGTACTACTGTTGGTACAAACCGGGATATAGCTGTAACATTTGCAGTGCCAATGGAGCAATTGAATTTCATCCGCGTCAAACCTATTAGCCGTGATGAAAATCATTGTTTTTGTTGGTGGTCTGTATTGCCACCCCAGAGGTGAGCTTGAGACACTATTCCAGGACTCCGTGTTGGCTGGTTGACAAGATCTATGTTTGTGATTGTTGCTGTCCCATTCCGGTTTGGTTTTGAAAGTTGTTCCTCAAAGTTGTTGCTCGTATTGGACCTTATTTGACTTTTCTTTTCATCGATTATACCAATAATAAACAAACATATCAGATAAATATACCGATACCTGCAAAAGGGTTTCATGTGGGACAGATCAATTGCAGTATTTGTTCATATCAGGTGACAACTGCCTTTCGACCGGCAGGCTCTTTGTGGTTCAAAAGTGCGCTGCTCTGCACTGCACAGGTTATGAACCCAACGCTCAGCTCAAGGGGCTTGTGCCATGTCGTGGACTAGGGCGAGTTCGGTGCCACCTGGTGGAAGTGGACCTCCAGTTCTACGGCTGGATCAAGAAGGCCAACCAGGGCACGGAAGGGAACGAGCTGGACACGATGGCAGAGACCTTTGGCAAGGAGATCGACTGCAAGACTGAGGGGGTTGGTCCTTCCGGCTGATGGGGCAACCAAGCCACTTCAAGGGCAGAAGATGGAGAGCTTCGTAAAGTCGCTCTATGTGCAGGCATTGGAGGATCTACAAAATGCTGAAGAGGAACTGAGAGCCGGGGAGGAGAAGATCATCTAAGCTTCTCGCAGCGAGAAGTGGACTGATGGGGACGCAGAATCCTCAGTGCCGACAGGCTGGAACTGGACTGATATAGTTGCTGGATATTGGATGTTGGAAAAGAAGAGGGAAAGGGAGAATGAACCTTCCCCACCATAGTCAGCTAGGGAAGATGAACCAGCTGACATGGACGAAATGACCAACGTAAGGGCACCAAATGAACCTGCGTTGAGAAAAGCGGGTATGGAAGATGAACCACCCAGTAGGATGATGACCATGGTGAGGGCCCCAAATGAGCCCACCCTGCGAGAAAAGGAAAATGAAGCAGGAAAAGGGTAGGGAAAATCAACCGCCCAGCAAGAGCCCATAGAAGGGAGGCCACAGTAGGACTCTCTGGAGACAAGATCAATGGGGGGTTGAAAGAAAACCAAATTGAGAATTTGAACATCGGTTGTAGTCACAGTGTTGAGCACCATCCTAATGGGAAACATATTGCATTACGCCCAGGATCTTCTCCAGGAACCCCAAACCACTGCCCTACCGGCTGCCTTTGGACGCGCGGGCCACAACTTTGCGTCTTCTGGATGAGCCATGGAAAGATGCTTCAAGGTGATGAGAGGCGGGCATGGTCAGCAAGTTCAGCCTGCAAACTCGGTACTTGCTCAATTGAATGATGATCCCATCGAAGACTGGGATGCAGAGCTCGGGCTCGAGCCGCCAACTATAAGGTTCGGGTCATGAAACACGGTGCCATGGACTGTGGTGAGCTGCAGATGGAAGATGGCAGCACTACAACCATGAGGACGTACGGGTGGTGGAGATGATGGTGCGATGGTGATGGAAGACCGACCTACAACGTTACCAACGACGAGGGCATTGGCGGAGGTCAATTGAAGAGGCCGGGGAGACATGTTCAAGGGCATCCAGTCTCACGAGCTCCTTCGGAAGCCACCATCCACGTCGGACGGATGGCATGAAAATGCACGCGGGGTGGATGATCAGATACCACCGGAAGACTCGGAAGAGAGCATTCCATCCCTTGCATAGGGGAAAGGGAGCACCTACGCCGACCGACTTAATCCCCTATCGCATGACCGTCCAGTTCAACAGTCAAGGTGAGAGCAAATTCTGGTTGGGTCAATGGATTGGCCAGACATGGAGCTCACCCGGATACCTGGGTTGGGTATTCGGTATTCAGGCGCTAGGATGGTGCGAGCGATGCTGGAGGTGAACTACTTGGAGATGATGGAGTTCAACGGCCAACTATGGAAGGCCCTGCTTCAAGCAGAGTTTCAAGGGCATCCACGTTGACAAGCTCTACGGAGGGTTCACAGGGACGTGGGTACAATGTCCATGGAAGTGGAGTCCAAAGTCGCGGACAAGCGGCGATGGGATCTGCGACAATGACATCACTGCGGCCAACTGTAGCGATTCCTTTAACCGTGCAAGATTGGAGCCAGACAGCAGCCGCAAGCTCCGCTACCACGACATCGACCTCATGATGCTCCGAGCGATGACAGCTTTGAGCTGATCGAAGATGCGGACGGTGAAGTTCAGGGAGATGAGGAGCTGGTGCCAGGGACGAGACACTTGCATCTTGAAGGTGAGCATGGAGCTATGGCTATGCCACTGCCGGGCCTATCTGGAGGAGGAGATGGGGATGACCCGGAACGAAGTAGACCACCTCCTTTGCCAGAGATATCGGAGAAGAAGAAGAAGAAGAAGTCGAGGACGCGGAGGACCCCGAGCACAACTTCAGATTGAGGAGTGGCTTATTATAAGGGTTGGCAAGAGCAACTGTCACCCAAGCTGGAAAATCCTCGTCATGGACGCCCCAGAAGTGAGAAAGTCCAGAGGCCATACCGTGATGCTTTGGCCGCAGCGACGAGGACAAGGAACTCGAGAAGACGCTGCGACTATTCAACACAGCACCCAGAGTCCGAACTTGGGCTGGCAGAAGAAGGTGATGGGCAAGGGCAAGGAGCCAAGTTGCATGTGATAAATCAAGGAGGCAAGGGTTCAGGCCAAGAGAAACCGGTGCTTCATGGAAAAAGAGGAAGACCAAATCAAGCGCTGGAGATACAGTTTGCCCGGGCTGTCGCTGGAGCCGCGAATGCTGTGCGAGTGGCTGACAGAGAAGAGCATGGATGTCCATGAAAACGGGAGTCCACAAGCTGAGCTAGCCTACGACGTAGCAAATGAGGCGGTGAACTCCGTTGTCGCAGCAGAAGCAGCTATGAGCTCTGGAGCTGGAAGCTCAGTAGATGGTGCTGGTGGAAAAAAGGGTGGACACAAAGGTATGGGTTCATCGAGCTCCAAAGGAGTTGGTCATGCCAGACGTTGCATGTACGAGGAGTTCGTGAAGGGTAAGAAAGGAAAAGAAGCCTATGGAGAAGAGGGTGAAGAGGAACCCTTGCAAGATGAGGACTTGGAAGTGATCCCAGAAGGGACGGATGTAGGCAATGGAGATGGAGATGGTGATGCTGATGCACCTATACGGAGCCTACTATACGGTCGCAACAGGGCCGACGACAACGGCTGGAACTACAATGACCGAGCCACAAGACGGCACCCACTACTGAATGGGTTCCGGAAGATTAGTACGAACAGATTGTGGATTCCTGGGTGGCTTTCTATATTATGAGAACGAGGAAGAAGTGGCGGAGGATTGAACAGTTGCAGAAGATCGGCGAGATGCCGAAGAGGCGACACTATACCTCCTCGACGTTTCGAAGGTGATCCCAGTCATGGGATGATGGCTCCAGGCATGCTGCAGATGACGCCGGCATCCAGGCACATGGCCATTCAGACGTTCATGGGAAGTGGAACTTTGGGTCTTACGTGGGGACGCTACTCGCGGTATGGAACTATATGAATGGGCTGCATGTCGAATGGGTTATGTGCCGGTTGTGCATTATGCTCAGGCGCACGCCGATGCCTGGTATTACGCATTCCCTTCCACTGACAATGTTGCCCAGACAACGAGCTGTAGATGACAGTGAACAGGAGGAGATGGGCCCGAATTTACCGTTTGAACACAGTATGATGCTTCGGCTTCGCCAAAAAGCGAAGGCACCTCCGAGAATGTAGCTACAACGAAGGGCGGCTGAGATGCAGCAGACTTACGGATAGCTGCAGCGGGCCCGGTGCCAGGTCCTTTGCCAGGGCCAACACCACGGGGACCTCCTCCAACAGCAAGACAAGTGCTGATCAGGTTGTTGCAAAAAACACCGAAGCAAGGTGGAGAACTTCCACCACAACAACAGATGATGACTGGCGCTACATCAAAGGCGGAGGCAAGATGCAGAATGCGGGGGTTGCGCAGCAGTGCAATGGGGCTCAGGCCGCGAAAGCGGGCTGCGGCGACGAATCCCAGCATGGGCCTTCAACCGGTGGTTCGACTTCGAGCTCCATGGGAATCAAGCAACAACTGCAACTGGGCCAACAGATGATGATGTGGAAGTGACGGCGGTGCGGTCACCTGAAAGGGTTTCGGTGAGATCCGATTTACCAGCCCAATCAATGACCTCGAGCTCTTCTACATGATCACGGCTGAGAGCAAATTTGGGGATTTGAGCATTTGAAAGCCGGAAATTTTGGCAGGGTCTTTACTGCCATGTAGAGCTGGCTGTGGTGTGAGTCTCTGCATACCAGGGTTGGCTCCATGTGCGAGGCTTTACGCACTGTAGTTTGGAGATTTTTGCTGGATCACTGGATGACACCATTCCCCGCATCAATAAGTTTTTGTGGCACAGCTCTAACAATTATCTGAGCTGGTGCCATCACAAAGAGACTCCCGAAGAGGAGCAAATTCAATAAGAGCCTTGAGTTTGGCACGTTAATACCCCTTATATGCATGGCTGAAGCCATGAGGGGGCGTGCAAAAGGGTTTCACCAAGTGCAGTATATTTTCATTTCAGGTGACAACTGCCTTTCGACCGGCAGGCTCTTTGTGGTTCAAAAGTGCGCTGCTCTGCGCTGTACAATATGATAACCATTGGGAAAGTTATAAGCACATGATAAACTTGATAATTTCCCCAATGCTGTTTGACTTCAATAATCGCAAGACCCCCGTCGCCCTGGTTCAGCGTAGTTACTGACAAAAGTTGGTTTTCCCCTGTAGAACTGTGATTGAGCAGTTCGTGGTTGCCACAAGCTAAGTTGTCGGCCAGTTACCGAGTTCCTGTGTAATTTGGCTAGTTGCAGCTAGTTACCGGACCCGTGGGATGACTGGGGTGACCCTCAGGTCTTCCCAGTTCATGTTGCTGCGCATCTTGGAGAACTGGTCATGCTTCGTTATTTGGTGGCTGCGGGGGCGGATGCTGGGCATAAAATTTCGCAGCTGGGAGGCAGCTGGGGAAAGGGGTTTGGTAAACACTATGCAAACCCGGGTTGGTTTTGGCGGAACTCACCATACAATGAGGGAGTTCTATCAAGGAAAAGTGATGGATTTAGGGATTTAACCACTAGATCTTGGTCTAAACATTGGATTGCTGCAGGTGGCGTTTAATGGGTATACCCAACAGAATAGGATTTAACCATCAACATTGGTGGTCTCGAAAGGGACGTA